ACGTGACCCTTCCTCCAGTCATCTGGGACAGACAGAAAAGTTTTTTAAGTGAACAGAGAAGGTAGAGATCATCATTTTGACCTTAACCCAGAAGTCAGGAACCTTCATCTGGAAGTAGATCTATCAGATCAGTACTGAAATGGTCAAACACTTGTAGTCTTCATCCACTGGACTGTCTTGGTGATCTTTGTGGAAAATGCCTAAGAAGGCATTGCTTAGTCATGGGAGGTGTTGAGTGCTCTTGCTTTTGTGACTCAGGCATAGATGTTTGCAGCAGTGTTCACAGCTGAAAACATATTGACAAAGTCTGGATGCATGCACAAAGACATTTTTGGGGTACAGAGCTGCTGCCCCAGAATCTAAAGTAATACTAATATGCTAATAATCCAGCGAATCAAGAAATACAAATTATCAGGTGAGAGGACTGAAACACTGCAAGGTAAAGAGTGAGATGATTGAAATTGCTAAGGAGCCTGGACTTTCAAATATTGCTGAAAATTAAATACCAATGAATACATTCCCTGCAGGGGAGAATGTATGGTATTCAGACCCGCTCAATAATTATGAAGATGACTTTTTAAACCAGCTGCCCAAGATTACAAAGGAAACTATGGAAAAGCCATGACCTGAATCCAGAGCCATTGAGACCCAACACAATGTCCTTTTTAATAAAGCTCTCTGCCCTAAGTATTGAAAAGATCTTCAGGTGTAGGAAAAGCTGATGTTACAACCGCCAATCTTTCCAGACATATTTTCTGATGCATCAGTGTAAGTTGTCTGTAAGGTTGAGTTTCAGAAGTTTGCTCTGACTAAAATCGTGGTTTTAGTCTGACAGTTGGATAGCTAAGAAGCCCCAAAGTTGAGCATCAGGGAGAAAAAGATGTAAAGATAATTGCTACATCTGGGAGTTGGTACCTGATGTGCCATATGATAGCATCTTCTGGTTGCTTGCACTCTCAAACAATCTAATTAGGAATGCTTACACTTTTAGCAGTTTAGTCCTCACCTATTAGCACTCTATGGGCCTGATCTGGAAAGTCCACCTTCAGGCAAAAGTCTAGTTAGAATTGATACAAGTTCTGTAAGACTGAAGACTGCGGGGTCTGAGACATTAGAATTACATGCTTGGTGAGCATCGTAATAAGGAAAAGAAATATCACAATATCACAATAAGACTTTAGTAAACTGTTTACAGTGTTTTAGTCCAGTGCAGTCACTTCAGCAGAATCCTCCTTTCCTAGAAAATATATACGTTACATCAATTAAAACTCATAGACCAGTGGTTATTCAGTAGTCACAGAATCACAAAATGTTAGAGATTGGAAGGGACCTCGAAAGATCATCTAGTCTAATCCCCCTGCCAGGGCAGTAACACCTAGATCAGATCACACAGGAACACATCCAGGCGGGCTTTGAATGTCTCCAGAGAAGGAGACTCCACAACCTCTCTGGGCAGCCTGTTCCAGTGCTCTGTCACCCTCACCGTGAAGAAGTTTTTCTCATATTCAAGTGGAACCTCCTATGTTCCAGCTTGAACCCATTGCCCCTTGTCCTATCACTAGATGTCACAGAGAAGAGCCTGGCTCCATCCTCCTGACACTCAGCCTTTACATGTTTATAAACATTGATTAGGTCACCCCTCAGTCTCCTCTTCTCCAGGCTAAAGAGACCCAGCTCCCTCAGCCTTTCCTCATAAGGGAGATGCTCCATTCCCTTAATCACATAAAATCAACTTTTTGTTATTTATTAGTGATTAGACATTGCACAGTGCTTGCATTTCTAATTACAGACAGTCCATAAAAGCTGAAATACGAATTTCTACAATATATGCTAGATGGGAAGCATTTGTTTTTTTTATTTTTTTCTCCATCACAAGAAATAACCGTAGGTATCACTCTCATTTAGGGTTGTTCAGACTGTGGGTACATGTACCATTACTGGTGTAGAAGTAATTTCAAAGTGGTACCCACTTCAGCGCAGAGCCAGGTGTTTCCAGAACATGTGCCGAGAGCATCCCTTGCTATTGCTGCCCAACGGTACCCACAAAAATGCATGCCCAAATCTTTCTGACAGCATTTCAAAATAGCCCTGCCTTGTCATGACTTTCATCTTTGTATCTTGTGAGTATGGGTTAAAGTTAAGAAAAAAATCAGTGATTGCTGTTATTGTGTCTTTGTAGTAGATCTGATATTGAGCTAAATATTAAATCAATACTGTCATTTCTGTATAAAATTTCAGTTACATTTTAAGCCATTATCACAGTGAATGTGCCTAATGCATTCCATTTTGCAACAAAACTGATCATTAATTTTATCTTTACTGATGTTAGTGTGTATTACAACATTCTTCAGAACTGGTGTGTGAAATGTCAGGTTACTTTTTGCCATATTTTAGGAGAACCGTAATATTAGAATAACATCTCTTATATTAATCTAATCCCTTTTCAGTTGTTTCATTCATATTTTGTCCCCTTGCAACAAGGATATGCAAAGAATGAGTAACTGTTTTGTCAACAGGGACCATAATGATTAAAATACAAACAGTAAATATGACTTCAGGTCTAGAATCGGATTATGGGATTAAAATGAATGAAAAAACTGCTCTGTAGTAGGATTGCAAAGTTCCAATCGATATCATCCTGTAATAATTTTAAAGGGGAAATGTGGGAAGTAAAGTAATAAGGCAAAGAAAGCACAACTTGAAGTTGTTAGTGATGCTTGTGTTTCTTGATTTTCTTTTGGTTTATCGGTAGGTCCCAGCTAGAAAGCTGCAATGTCACCGGGGTTCCATTCTTTTAATTTATATTACATCTGTTGTGCTATGTTATTTTGCATCGTAAAGGTTAAAGACAGGGCCTTGGGTTAATGCAGTAAAAGGGCAGGAGGGACAGCACGTATGGAGGCTACAGGGCACCTGGCACCGGCACAGGCAGCAGTGCCTGTGTGTTTCTGCCCTTTTGAGTTTGTGATGTGGACAGAGGGCACTGCTTAACATTTTAGATCAAAGATGCATTGTATAAATCTGCCCTGGATTGTCTAAGCCCAGTCTAAGTGTGGTACAACTCATTAGCACAGGAGGCTGATTGCAAGGATGCTTTAAGTGGTCTTGGGTCCACTCAGGAGATCATGTCCTCGGGTTTTGTGCCGGGGAGGTCTCCCTTGGAGGTGTTCAAGACCAAAGGCATTTGTATGCTGCTTCAGCCCTGCCCTTTTTACAGCAATCTGGAGGATGGTAAAAATGCAAATTACTGTGGTTTCAAATATTCTTCAGGACAGCTGCACTAACCTCAGTGTGAAGTAAATTTTCCAGCAGAAGGTGTGTCTTCTGGATCATGGAGAAGTACCATGAGAAGTGCCACCTCTTAAAGGCCTGAATTCTGAATGTTTCTATTCTTTACGTATTATCAGTGTGATGAGGCTATGTTTTAATCTCAAGTCATGAAGTTAAGATAAATGAATGTCTGGGGTGCTTAGTTCCATGCATCTGTCGCAGGTTGCCTTTTTAAAAGTAAATGCATTTGTCACTTTCTAAAAGTCAAGCCTGCCTGAGAAGAGCTCTCCAAAATTGGCAGCGCTTAAATCTACCACTTTTTTTTTTTTTTTTCTAATCTCATGCAAAATGTTAGTTACATCTTTTTAGGCACCTAGAGGAACTTAGCTATGAATAAGCTAGAAATGTTTTAAAAGGCATTGTTATCGGGGGACCATAAATCAGAACCAGGTGTCTTGGTCGTTTTCCATCTGGGTCCAAGAACTGTTACAGCAGTTTGACTCAACATACCTAGACACACAGAAATGAACCATCCTTCTATGGAGGTTTAGGTTCTAGCTATTCCTCCCTGAGATGTGACACCTCCTGTCATTAGAGGCAAGGTGGCTAGGTGTGGCATGGCATCCTTATCCTGCTTCCAGCACCGAGCTGCTGCCTCCAGAAACTGCTGCACAGCCCTACCTAGAGTTCCCTGACTATGTCAAGAGCAACTTGAAGAACTCTGCACTGCTCTCTGCCGTGTGGTATTGGCCTACCCACAAACTCACAGGGGGTCAGCAGGACAGAAAAAATTCCTTGTCTGACCGGGGGAGCCTCATGTTGTACATTTGACACCTTTACTTGGTGTAAGAAGAGGGTTTTGTGCTTATCACTCTTGAGTTGTTCTTGGACATATCTGGAACCTACAGCAAAAGGGACAGAAGCAAAGTCCGTAGAATTGGGAGTGGGTCACGTGAAGGATCCCATGGCCGATGTCAAGCAAGTGCAGCAAAGATGAAAGGGAGAAAAAACAAAGCTTGGAAGCCTTGTTGAAGAGGAGCAGGGCATAGGACAAAGGTGTAGTGCAAAGTCCTGCAAATATGTACAGGCAATGCCCACCAGCAGCTTGAAATGGGCTTCCAGAGAAGTACTTGAACTTTTGCTTGTAGCAAATCGGATGGAATTTGTATTTTCTTCCCCATCTTCCTGTCTTAATCCCTCTGAAATAAAATTACAGTAAGCAGTGACTATCATCACAATGCATTTCTGATTAACAGCAAGGGCACAAGGGCACTCTCAAAATAGAAGCAAAGTCGGGATTGTTTTAAATCACAGTGTTGCAGAAGTATTAAAGCAGAAGCCATAATTTTACTGTGTTCAAAAATAAAATGCATGCTACTGTAGAGGGTTGTGTACATTCATCTAGCTGCTACTGCCTGGCATAACCTTTTGCTTTAGGTTTCTGTGATTCATCTTTTCTTTTGTTTCAGAGAGTCGAATGATTCTGGATGCCTTTGCCCAACAATGCAGCCGTGTTCTAAGTCTCTTAAATTGTGGTGGAAAACTACTGGACAACAATCACTCTCAGTCCATGATTTCATGTATAAAGCAGGAAAACCCAAATTACAGTGAAAGACAAGAGCAATGTCAGCTTGGGAAAATGGTCCATAGTCAGACGTCAGACATTTTAGACATAGAGATGCAGTATATGCAAAAGAAACAACAAACCTCAGCCTTCCTGAGAGTTTTTACTGATTCCCTTCAGAACTACTTGCTCTCTGGGAGCTTCCCTTCTCAGAACACCTCATCAGTAAATGATTTTAGCCACTTGGCAGATGTGGATCCACTTTCAACCTCTCCAGTACACACTTTAGGTGGATGGACATCTCCAGCAACATCTGAATCTCATGGTCACCCATCATCTTCTACACTTCCAGAGGAGGAAGAGGAGGAAGAGGAAGAAGGTTACTGCCCTCGGTGTCAAGAGCTGGAGCAGGAGGTAATTTCATTGCAACAAGAAAATGAGGAACTTCGTAGAAAATTGGAGAGCATTCCAGGTAATCCCCTGCCATGTGATATGGTCAGTCAGTGATAGAAACAGTTTGGGTAATAGTTTATTTTAAGTTCTAGTTGTCTTTTAAAGTTGTAGTCATAGTAATCAAACACTGGAATTTGCCTCCATCCAAAATTCCTATAGCGGTGCTCATGGGAAAATTATCTGCTGATGCCCATCCATATGAATTGTGAGTCCTAGACTAAAGAGCTATGTTCAAGATGAGCAGTGCTTGTAATCCCAAATTCTAAGCATCAGGTGATTTGTCATGGTAACTTCAAACATGTGTTTTTATACCTAGTTATCTGTATTGTTCTTTAAGTGATGTTGCAGCTTATAAACCTGATTCCCTCTGGGGGCTCCTTTTTTGGTCACTTTAATAAACTATTCAAAGTTACGTCCATACTTTTAAGCAAAAAAATAGATTTGGCTTTTACCTTGAACAGTGTGTCTTAAATTGCTGTTAGCTTAATAAAAAGCATAGATATGTATCTTCCCATTCATCTTCAAATAAGACTTGAAAAAAGGCTTGCCAACAAGTTCTCAGGTTCAGCAATACCAAGCTGCCACTGATGGAGAGAAGGCAGACAGAAAAAAACATCTAATAGAAACTCCATCTGTGAAAAACTTCTCTTGCCCCTTTAAACTTAGGACTTCTCACTGTTGGGGTGCACTGACATACCTGAGTGGTATCAGATGAGAACAAAGTATCTTGGACTCATATCCTCTAAACTTTAAGCACAGGCAAAAATGCACCTCAAATAATAATACTAAAAGCAATCTGGAACTTAGCAAGGAAAATAAGTATACGACACACTTCTGACACATTTATAAATGCTAGGGAGCTGCATCTTTGATAGCTGAAGTTTGAGATGCTTAGGATAGATCCATGCAAAGTTCGCTGAACTAATCCCTGAATGGCAGAAAAGCCATTTAGCGTGGACTGCAAGAGAGAAAATACTCCAAAGCTGCTAACTATGCAGTAGGGAAGGCAGAAGCAACCAACCACTGTCCAAATATGTATGTGCAGTTGCAAAATCTGAGCAAAAAGCAATCAGTAGTCTTCATCATTCTTCTTCCCAGCTATGACTGATGTATTATGAATTATTTTTATTATATTGTGTTTTTCTGTTGTGTATTGGTCCCTAGGGTGGTACCAGCAAATCCCATAACCACATTGTTCAGTGCAGAGAAAACACAAAGTTTAGAATACTTCCCATCCCAAAATCTGGAGTCACTGTAACTCGTACACTCTCACTGGATTCAGTAGTGGTTTGTACATCACGTGGAAACACTGTGTGACAAAGGGAATGGCATGGACTTCAGCTCCTGTTGAGTCCTACCTTCAGGTGTATAAGACCAAAAATTATCGTTAGGGCCTATAATCTGACCTACAGCTTTCATTCCATCACCTCTATTGAACTTGGTAGTCTTTTTGACTTTGACTAAAGCATAACTTACATTTGACTCAAGTAATATCTCAGAAGGCCTCCAGTCCTGAGTTGGAGACTCTGGTGCACAGTGGCTCTGTCTCTTACCCTGACACTTGAATCCGGTGGTTAATAACACTGGGGAAAATGTGTGCCTTATTCCCTGCCTGACTATCTGAAATCAGCTTCTAGCTATTGACTTCTATGCTTTGCTCCACTAAATGAAGTGCTGTATAGAACTGGGTGCTCTTTCCAGATGAAGGTACTTAGGGACTGAAAGCTGATTTAATTTCCATCTCAGGTAAAGTACGCAAACAGAGCTGTTTAAAAGTCCCCAAGTGAGTTGAATCCTTCCTTGCAGTTCTTTTCTCCTGCTTATTTCTTTAAAATTCGGGCACTGGAAGTATGTGCAATATGTTTGTATCTGTCTGAGCAAAGGTGAATAGTCTCTTTTTTCCCATGCACGGTTTCCCTGGTCATTTGACCATCGGCTCTGCGGGTGAGCCACTCCTTCTGTGCACATTTCTTCCTTAGACGTACATACTTTGTATTTGGCTGTGTTCATTTACTAAGTGATCTGGATTGCTTTGGCAGCCCTGCTTGCCCACTGTTTGCTGGTTCCCCAATTCCTGTATCATCCAGGATTTTTTTGATTGTTTTTAAGTGAACTTTGTGGTCCCAGTTAGAAATGCTGAATGGTACTGAGACTGTTGTCGGTCCCTGTTGAGCCTTGCTAGAAGCACATCTATTCATGGTTCCCCCAGTGACAGATACTTGAGGTGTCAGTAGCAGGTATGCCATAGTCTGCTGGTGTTGTGTGTCGCTGCTTTTGCAGTCAGATAACTCCTGGTAGTAAGTTGAATGCCTTTCAGGAGTCTCAACTTTTTCAAGCAAGCCTATAATCTCATCCAAGAGTGACAATCAGGTTAGTCTGACAGGATCCACTTTCCATAAGACCGCTTTGACTGGCATTAATTATATTAATATTCTTTAGTTCTTAGTCAATTGAATTCTGTTGCGACTGCCTGTATTTTGCTAGGATTAATACTGGGCAAAGCAGCCAGTGTTTTCCTGGGTCGTCACAGTTACCTGTCATCTCTCTTTAAAAGAGAGATAAACATACACAAGCATAGTCCTTTTTCAGCCCCCAGGAGTAATAAAAGACCTTGTTAGCAGTGTATCAAAGCAGAAAAACGTAAAATAAATGTGCAAGGATGTATGTCTTCATCAGCCAACATAAAATCATCATCAGATGCATCTGCTGCTGTCTGGGTGATGCATGCAGATAGGCCTAAACTGACCCAGGTGTCTGGGGAGGCATCAAGAGCCCCAGAAGGTGCCCTCTGATGTTGCTAGGTAGTAGGACAGAGGTCTGAGCTCGCCAGGCAGTCCCACAGACACTACTGAGCAAGACTGATCAAAAGTCAACTAAAGGTGATGCCTGATTATTTTTATCTCCAGGGCTGATTTTGCTTCACTGAGCTTCTGCTACCAAAGAAGCTGGCAGACTTGAAACACTGTGACTTGAAACACCTGGCTCCATATGTCAACAGGCCCCGCACTCATTCTCTGGGCAGTTTTTTTTTTTTGCCCACCAAGACATTGCATGCCTTGGGAGGGAGGTAGAAAGGCCTTTGCAGAGGGTTTCAAGTGTTGTTTGCCACCATCTTATCACATCAGAGTCATCTCAGAGCCCAGGCTTTCTTCCCTGTTCATTTGTACGTCTCCCGCTGGGCATCTGACAGGCCAGGCAAGGTGATTAGAGCAGTGGAGAAGCGACTGTGGAGGCAGCTAGATGAGGCTGGAGACTGCCATACTGTCCCACCAAGCCACTGAAAGAGCAGGGGTTTTGACATAGTGGTTTTCCTTCTCCTCCTTGAGGGCGCTGGGCTGGAGCTGCTGGGTGAGGCTGGCAGAGGACCCGGAGGGGCTTGCACTGTGCCCTCCCCACGGGTGCAGGGGCTCCCACTAGCAGCCCTGTCAACAGAAGATAAAAGCAACAGCCCCTCCCTTCTGCTCTGTAACCGTCTATGAATCATTTTATCCTTTTCCTGAAATACTTTGCATTTCTTTTTTTTTTACTTTCCATATGCAAAAGCCCTTTTAAAATCCATGAGAGTTTGCGGTCTAAAAATAGTTAGCACTGTACATCTCTGCAAAGCACCATTTGCATGGCTCGCAAAGAGACTACCGGGAAGAAGAGTGTTTTCTCAGCAGATGTAAAGGCAATGACTTTTTTTTTAACAAATATTACACAAAACATATCCTCCTGTAGCTTTTGGACAAAGAAAATAAGATTTTTTTGTTTTCAAATCTCTGCCCTGTTGCTGTAGAAGCCCTCCAGTCCTGTAGGATCTTTTTGCCCATAGCCTAGCATCACTCGTTGGCAGACCACCACTGGACAAAACCAATTACATGAGTAAAATATTGCCTATGTTTTCGTTGTTGGGGTTTTTTCCCCCCAAAAAAATAACCATTTGATTTGACCGAAACAATACAGAAATTTGTGTGAAATCTTAGTTGTTTCAGCTATAGAATAAATGAAGAAAAAACCCTATTTCAGTCCTTTGGATTTGGAGCAATGTGACATCTTGCAAATTGTGCAGTTTTACACCAAAATTAATGGTTTTAGGCAAAAACGTTAACTGAACACTTTCAGTTTTCAGTTCAACTGAAAAAAGAGGAATATTTTCATTCAGTGTGTTATTTTGTCTTGTTTTAAAAAATCCTTAAAGATTAGGTAGTTCCTGAAAGGCATTTAGCAAACTTGTCATTGGCTCTTTAAGGTTTTGAGACCATCAAGAACAGAGAAAAGTAATCCATCTATATGAGGAGAAAAATGTCTCTTAATCTCTTCCCTCTGTATAAAAATGACTAGGGTTGTGATACGTTCCCAATAGTAAAATTAAAGACTTATTTCTGAGACTATGTGTAAGACCTGGATTTAGACCCTCTAATATATAAGGATATTAAGCAGTTCTCCTTTGCTGCTGTCAGCAGGATTTTGTCGCAGCTTTTGGCCTAAAAGGGAGAAAGTATTTTTCAAAGGCCAGGAGTCATGAGTGACAGTTTGCCTCCTGGTGCTCCAAGCTTTGCTGCATGGTTTTGGGCCAACCAGCCTGAAAGTAGTGAAAAGGTGTAAATAAGTAAGATGAAGCAGCATGTGATAAATACAGTAATTATTCTTACCTCATTAGCCCAACAGCAAAAAATACTCCAGCAAACAGCAGAAGGACAGAGGTGGAAAACCCCCTCAAATGTAGAGAGGAGATCACTTAAGAGACAGGGTTCATGGTAGATGCAAGTAGCCAAAGCAAAGTGGAGTTTGCAGGTAGAGTTAATGTCAGTGTGATTGAAAGAGTCAGACAAGTTTTCCAGAAGGTTTTGTGTGCCCAAGGCTTGACTCTTTTTCCTGACTATGTCAGATGATCTAATAAAAGAAATTGCTTTGCCCTACAAATCTTGTCTCCTTTATACTTTCAGAGCATCGTGTTTCCAAAGAGCCTACCACAGCAGCAGCATAGATAAAGCAGCCATCAAGGGTTATGAGGAACACTTTCACGTGTCCTTTTTT